GGAACCGGTGCCAACGTAGGGTGCATTCCCAAGAAACTGATGCATCATGCAGGCCTAGTAGGAAGAGAGGTAAATGATGTCAAGTTGTCAACCTGAACTGCAATTAATTAAATGCTACCCTTTGATCCAACTGACTTGGCGGCTGGAAGGCGGGCCTTCGTGACCTAAGGGCTAGGTGGTGATCGGAGAGTATGCGCGCGGGAGAGACGCAGACTAGGAGCGGGCACGAGCGACCGTAAATTTGGTCACAAAGCCCCGCCATCCAGCCGCCAGGCAAACCAAAGATTACACTGTCTGCAACAGTGAATTGAGTTATGGATCTAGACTATCTGCAGTTGCAGACTGAACGGCATAGTAACCTTCTGTGACCGAACTGAGACCGCCTAGCATACATTGTTTTTGAAAGCTGTTCACGTTTTAAAGAGAGCCGCTCGCTTTATAGCTTAGGCGGATGTGATCTCGGTGACTGCGGCATACCTACCGCTCTTTGATATATTTATGTGAGTGAACCCACGGCACATACGTCGACATTCAGAGGGAGAACCATTGTATTTTGCAGATAAATCTCAATAGGTCAACGCATTTTGATCACCATGTTGAACTTGTTCTTTTCTGTTTCCATGTAGCAAATATACTAGATCAGTTAGTTCACAGTTATGAGTCCCGCACAATCAACCTTGTTTTGAAAATGTGTGCGAAGCGGTTTTCAGTCTTTTAGTCAAAAAATGGATGATAGTGAAATACCACAATCATTACATGCAACGAAATTACCATAGATCAAAACTGTTGCCTTAGCATTTTCAAATGGTCCTATGCAAGACTTGAATGTCAGTCTGATACAATCCCCTCCTCTGTTGTTTGAAAAACAGTACCGCCTCTCTGTGTGCTACTCGTGCTGAACCCTAATCAAGTTACCATAACAGCAAATTTTTGACAGATACGCCATGCGCCGAAGTACGGATGGGCGGAGGCGAATGGAGAACAACATTCTTGGTTAGCCATATCACCTCTAATCCGAGATTAGCTCATGGGGCGGATATATAAGGTGCAGTAAAAGTACTGTCCCTTATATTATTGTTTTTCAATTTCTACATGTAGGCGAGATTTTGGAGATTAGACTAAGGTAAGTTTTATTTGGGACGGTCCCCTTCTCTTCTTTTAAACAAGTGACAACAGCGAGTAGGACCATCGACGAAGCGCCGCAGCGTTTGAGCGCGATTTTGGACCGTAACTTCAACATCAAGAGTGAACCAAATTCAAAGTAGTGTGTAGAGCAAATCTCTTCTTGAAAATTCTATACTTATGTTTATGTTTATTCAGCCAAATAGAAGGATAAAACGAAAGACAAAGAAACAGTAACAGCAGGGTCGGCTGAGACCGAAGGAAAACAAAACACCATAAAGAATACAGCAAGACAATGATAATCAAGTCATTAACATACCACACGATTGGAGGTGATCAATCAAATAGGAACAAAACGAGGTAGAAAGGAGTATTTTAACAGCTTTCGATCCAAAGCGTTCCAGGGCATCTGCATGCGACAAATAAAGCTTCGCTTATAGGAAGTAAGACTGGCTTTATCCACTTTAACCTTAAATGGGTGGCCTTTCGTCGCATTTGTTCTCTGTGGTTCCTCAAAAATATCAAAAAGCTTGAGATCAAGCTCTCTTGTAGTAAGCTTATGTATGAAGGCAAAGTCATCCAGAGTTCTTCTGTCCTCTAGAGTCAATGTCTGTAATTTTTTGATTCTGCCAAGATATGACAGTTCAAAGTTGCCTCTTCTAGCAAAAATTCTATAGGTAAAGGACCTCTGGACTTTTTCTATGCCTTCAATCTGTGCCCTACTCTGAGGAAACCATAATGGTGAGCAGTATTCAAGTAAAGGTCTTACGTATGTAGTGAATAATCTGAACAAAAGAATGGGATTACAGTGTTGAATGCTTTAAGTATATAGTTTAATCGACATTTGGCTTTTGAAATGATTTCAGAGAGGTAGCCACGGAAATCCAAATTGTCGGTATATGTAACACCCAAGTCCCGAACTGAATGGGTACGGCGTAAGATGCATCCATCTAGCATGAACTCAATAGCAGGGTGGTTTTTACCAAGGGCCATGACACATGTCTTTTCTTTGGAAATCTTTAGCTGCCAAGTAGATGACCACGAAGCGAGAGGCTTCTTGTAGGAGAGGCGCATCATTGATGGTGTAAATTTTCGAGTCATCAGCATAAAGCGAGCAGAAGGTGCCAGTCGAAAGAGCGCTTGGAAGGTCATCTATGTATATGAGAAGCAACAAGGGGCCAAGGACTGATTCTTGAGGCACACCTGGTGGTGCTGTAGACCCGTGAACGAACGTTGTTGATGATGACCGATTGGCTCTGCCATTGAGAAAGGAGTTCAAAAACAAAAAGTTAAGCAATGAGCCCTGTATGCCAAAGGCATGAAGCTTGTTCGAAAGTAAGGGTATACAAATCGAATCAAAGGCTTTACTATAACCAACAAAGCATATGGAGACATATCGGCCCCGGTCCGCTTCCCTATGCCAGAGCGGTACAGGTAACATAAGAGCAGATATTGTTGATCTCTTTCTAAGAAACCCATTTGTGCTTTAGACAGTAGATCATTTTGGATAAGAAATTTGGTTATACCCTCACAAAGTATTCTCTCCATAACCTTACATGAACAAGTAAGGCAAATCGGACGGTAATCGTCTACTGCCGTCTTGAGACCTTTCTTGTAGATGGGCCTGACAAGACCCAGCTTCCAAGTTTCAGAAACTTCACCTCGCAAGAGGAACCTATTGAACATTACGGTAAGCGGTGTAACTAATCCCTGAGCAGCATTTTTCAAGAATACATAAGGTATCCCGTCTGGAGAGGTGGAGGTTTCTATTTGGCAACCTGTGGAGCTTTCGATAAACCACATCTACGTGATGACGACCCAGTCGAGTATTTCTTTATTCTTGGGGTTAATGTAACCGAAGTGGGAGGGTAACTTTTATAAACTATCTCAAAAAGTCTGCAAAGAGATTTGCTTTCTGCAGGTCATCACGCACAATATTATTGTTTTCTTGAAGATTGGGAATACAATCAGAAAGCTTTAGTTTCTGATTAAAATCTATAGAAAGCCCTACTATTTCTCGACCTGGCAAGCTTTTCTTCACAAGCGCTTCTCCAGCGAGCTAATGCACGCTTTAGCCTATAGGCAAGTGAGGTATACCTACGCGCGCCTAAAATGGCCCGAAGGCGATAGAAACGAGTCACTCTTCTACTTAGCCTGAGCAACTTATCAGGTACAATGGCATGTCTGCTTTGCTCCCTACGAAGTGGTACATACTTCTCGATAAGTAGACGACAGATGGAAGCAAATTGACCGTAACATTCATCTGGATCGGTGCAGCATTGGAAGATCTGATACCATTGAGCGAACTGAGTTCACGCACAATGTCAGCATTTGCTTTACGATAATCGAGGTAGTTCCCTTTAGGCTCAATATCTAAGTAATCTTTTGCAAAGTCCAGGCATAACATGTTGTGATCTGAGGTGCTAAACGGAGGTAGCACATTAACTCCGTTGTTAACAGATGCGTCATCAACCAAAATTAGGTCAAGGCCCGTATGCACGTACATCCCCGCGGGAAGCGGAGGGGATCTGAGAGGGGAAGCGTCATATCTCGCTAGTCCATATATCTTTCTTCTTCTTTCCCTATCTTGTTTTTGAAGGTTCTCATGCACTGATATTTGCGCATAATGGATGCCAGGTTACTGCCATACAAGATTAAATATTCACTATTTTGTCTGATCCCCTGGGGATCCCCAGGGGATCACCTCATATTTTCGAAGTCATTTATCTTCGTGGAAACTCAATGAAATTGCTCTAAAATTGTACCGAGGATATACTACAGCACTGCTAAACATGCTTATGGTAGAAATGAGTGAAATCTCAAGATATCGAAGTTTGCGATGAACCGCTGCTCGCGAGCCAGGGATTATCGAAAAATCATAATCTTCAGATTCCATTTCTTCTGTCGAAAACATGCTCAGCAGTATCGTAGTATATCTTCAGTACAATTTTGCAGCGTTTTCATTGATTTTCCAGGAAGATAAATGACTTTGAAAATGTGAGGTGATCCCCTGGGGATCCCCAGGGGATCAGAAGATATAGTGAATATCTAATCTTGTATGGCAGTAACCTAGCATCCATTATGCGCAGGTATCAGTGTATGAGGAACATCATAAGCAAGATAGAGAAAGAAGAAGAAAGATATGTAGACTAGCGAGATATGACGCTTCCCCTCTCAGATCCCCTCCCCTCCCCGCGGGGATGTACGTGCATACGGGCCCAAGAATATTGAGCCCATGGGTAGGGGAAGCTAAGTTGGGAAAGGCCGTGAGCTAAACAAAAATCGAGGAATTTTGCAGCGGGAGTTGTAGGAATATTGTCTCTGGTAGTCATGTTATCCCAGTCTATCAATGGGAGATTAAAATCCCCCAAAAGAATGAATCCAAGGTTCTGTTCAAGATAGAAGTCATTGAGAAACTTGAGTAAACTGGAGAAAGCCTAAGCTGCATGAAGGACTTCTGTAAACGGCAACAGTATAGAAGTCACGACTTGCAATGGTAACTAGAGTGATGAGGAACTGGCAAAATTCACTGAAATTTCTTGCCTATATAAACAGTTGAACAAATGCTTCACACACGACGCAAAAGTGCAGCTACCCCGCCACCCGGATTTCCTTCACAGTCACAACGATAAACACAATACTCATTAGAATGAGCAAGGGTAGCGTCATTTGAGAAGGCTTACACCAAGTTTCGGTGATAACTACACAAAATGGATGATTACTGAGAAGAGACCCCAAATCGGGAATTTTATTGACAATAGAACGGGCATTAAATAAAAGAAGGCGATCTGATAGAAAGAGAGATCAGAAGAAGAGGTGTGCGGGCTAGCCATGGCATCATCGTATCCTAGCGATCCTGGTGATCCATTGTCCCATGGTTGATGCTAGGTGTGCCGGCCATTGATTGACTTCAATTTGATGGATGATCATGATCAGCCGAGAAGTAACCTGGCTGCAATTTGGGGGATGCAAGGACTGTGGTTTTCCGCCGATTGCTCGAAAGTGCCGTTAACGTTGACGGGGCTAGACCATTCGCGCGGATTTTTAAGCTTGTAGAAACGTAAATTCCGCACTACGTACAAAAGTTTGCCTTCTTAACGGTTGAAAAGTCCAGATTTTCTTCGCAAGGCCCCAAACTCAAGCTCTTCACGGGTGTAGTCCTTACGCGCATAAGAATGAACAAACTGCTTAGTCAACGAAAGCTTAGCCCATTTCATATGATCGAGAAGGGTGTCCTTTATCTGGGTACTTACGGTCGTAATCATGATTTTTCTAGGGCGAGAAGTTTTCCTTGTGCGTACCTCTGGATAGCGGCGGACATCGTGTGGTTGTTTCATTCCGATAACAGTTCATCATCGCCGGACTCGTGATCACTTCCTTGATTGCTTCCTTGTCGAATGCGGCGGTCGCTTCGCGGGTGGTTTTCTCATCGATCCCAATCCATGTTATCCTGCATGCTTTTTCTTGAACGATTCGAGAGTCTGCATTGTATTTTACGAGAGCGCTGTAAACGGCATCATTCATTGTTTTTTTCTGACAAGAAGGAAACGCGCGCGCCTATATCTCGCATGGAATTGAGTAAAGACTGTTGCGTTTCTTGCATTTTGACCAAAAGATCGAAAATGCGGTCAAACCTCTCAAAGTAAGCGTCCCACTTCTTCATCATCCCCTTAAGCCAAGCGGGGCATACAGCGATGTCCTCAGTTCTTTCCTTGCTTCTTTTCGGCGACATCGGAGCAGGTACGAGGAGGCGTGGAGGTGGGGGCAGACGAGGAACGGCGGTGGTGGCGTGATTTGGGATAAGGGGTGAGCCGACGGGAGGCAGCCTCGTACGATCACGATTGGGCAGGCGAGGGAAAGTCCGGATGTGAAAGTTGCAGTTGAGTCGAGTGACAGCGGTAAACGGAGTTGGGAAGCTGCGTGATGAGGATCCGGATGTTAGGCTAAGCACAGACTGAGGCCAACGAGGTGGAATGGGGCAGAGGGAAGTCGAAGAGGGAGGAAGGTGGAGGCCGAGGAAGGCAACTGTAGCACGGCGAAGTTGGGCAGCCGCTCAATGGCAAGAACCGGCGGTCAACGCGAGAACCAATTCCAAATCTACCTTTGCTATCTGCTGAGGACCTCTGGGCGAAGAGTTATGAAGGTTTTTGCGAGTAAAAAGTTGAGTTCAAGATTAGTGTAAATCAGTCGTAACCTTCTCCTGACGTTCGAATGATGCAGCAGCGAGTTGATATATTCAAATCAAAAACATTTGTGGCGCCGAGCGGACCGACTATCAATTAAGCCCCAGAAAAAATGTAACGACTGATTTTATACTAATATTGCATTCAACCTTTTACTCACAAAAACCTTTATAACTCCTCGCCTAAAAGCCCGAGATAACGAAAGGCAAATTTGGAATCAGTGTTTTAAGCTCTACAAGATATTATACATCCCAATCAGAAAGGCCACTTCGACCAACCTTCCTTCCCTTGTTAGTCTCAAATATATAAAAATAAAAATAAAAAAAAATAAAAATATGCAAATATATAAAGTATTGTACCTCAGTTTGCCTCCTAAGAAACCCTGCAGATGAAAGAAAGTTATAGTTTTTCAGTTCCTACATGTAGTCGAAACCTTGGAGATCAGAATAAGGCTTTGGAACTGTATCCTTTTCTTTATTCAAACGAGTGGTAACAGCGAGCAGGATCATTGACGATGCGCCACAGGGTTTGAGCACAATTGTAACGCGCGTAACTATAACATCAAGAATGAATCAAACTGAAATTAAGATAGTTGTAGAGCAGATCTCTTCTCCAAAATTCTAAACTTTTCATGGTACAGTGACTGAAATTTTGGCTCAAAAAGGAACATCAAATCCTGGGCGAAATGCAAAAATTCTCGGAGAGAGGCTAGTCAGAACTGCTTCTGTTCAATAAATTGAATCAAACTATGATTGAAAACTCCAGGTTCCCGCAGAAAGTAACTGGATAAAAGAACATCAGTTTGTCCATATCATGATTTTTGATCATTAAACGATTACACTTATTTTCTGTGCCACGTTTTCTGACCGCGCCCTTTTGCGCCGCAGCAACTTTTGTCGGAAAAGTTCACAACTTTTCTTCTAATAGAGTTGCGTACTAACTACTTCCAGGATACTTTGAAGTCAATACCACATTCCCCAAAAACAGTGGCTCAATGGACCTCTGTCATTTGGTAGGGCTAGGTAGTAGGCCTCCCTAGTACACCGTAGCCCCAACCCCACCCTCCAATTCATGCGCTAAGTCCCGTAAAGGCGCTTCTGAACTACATTCCGTTCATTTCCGTTAAGCGGGGTCACTGGTAAAATTTTGAAAAGCGCTTTTAGGATTAGTGCATGGATTGGGTGGGTTGGCGTTACGCTGTACTTGTTGGGTTTACTGCCCAACACTACCAAAATATGACAAGGCTCCATTTTGCTGAGCCACTGCCTCTAAGCAGTAGAGGATTTCTTAAATCCACATCGGAAACAAAAGAAATTTTCAAAAATTACAACACTCTCTTCACATTTTCAAAAGAGATTTGTAAGATTTGTTGGATGCGTTGCGAAGAAGGATACGTCGCCGGGTGAAATTGTAGAAAGTTGAGGCCAGTTTTTGCAAAATGCTAAAGCGTATTCACATCTTGGGATCTATGTCGAGTTTACCAGAAGAAACCTGGGAATCATGCCGATTTATTTGCCTTTTTTCTGAGGGACAGTACTTTTTCCGCACCCTGTATAATCGATATGACCATTTCTTACGTAAAAAAGCATGTATACCCTTTCGAATCCAGGGAGACATTGATCAAGGCTGTCGATGATCGAATCAAAGCTAACAGCTGGATCTACCGAGTACAACTAAGTGAAAAGTTGGTTCCTCTCATTCTTTTGTAAACATCTCATGCCATTGAAAAAAATTTCGAAACTCCTTTTGGCAGGGGTATAGAAGTGTACACAGCTCTTGCGTCTTTCATGGACAAGCATACCGTAAAAGCAGTGTCTACTGATGGTAAAAGATCCGAGGTAATCCCTTTCAACGACCTTTTCCGATAGTCATTTACTTATTCGCAACACTGAAAAGTTCAGACAATCTTGCGCGCACCTCATGTTGTCATCGCTACTGGTCTTCGCCCACGTTATCCGGATATTCCAGGAAAAGAGCTCGGTAACTGAGGCATAGAAAAAATTTGAAATTAAACGTTGAAAAAACAATTTTCTAAAGGACCAAAAAAAGCTCTATATAGAGTCCTCAATTGTTGGTAGAATGTCTGTTAACATGTTATTTTTTACTTCTTTCCCTCCCCCCCCTCCACTCTTTTGGTATGCCAAATTAAACTGCTGATTTGACCTTGAAAATTTGGAAATTTCTCATATGTCAAACTTGCTGGGTCCCTAATCTGGTGTGATGTTCATTTAACACGTTGACGACCGTATGCATCCGCGCGTATGCACGCCCTAACTCCCGTTTAGCATTTTCGTGCATCCGCGCATATGCACGCTAGTTTTCTAGGTGTAAACGAAAAGTTTCAAGGTAACTTCTGTGCAGTAATACTACTGGTAGCCTGATAGTCTCACAGAACACAGGGCATCGCGGCAGCTGTTCAGAAGTTTGGGCCGCAAAATTGGGTAATCAGTCGGTTTTTGGTAAGGTAAACACATGCTAATTACGTTTTTCCGAGAAGGTTAAAACTCTGTAAAGCTGTTTTGAAAGCAAAATAGGATGAATTAAGCAAAAAATACCTGGTATTACAGCGTTTTTTTTTTGAAAAAAATTCCTCCAATATAGCGATTGCGCGGTTATTGGGAGGGAAAATCCACGCAAAAACCTTGATTTGTGTAAGTCCTAGTAAGACTCTGTAATTCACATGTTTCCCTGAACATAGTTTGCATGTTTTTTAAATAAGTGTCAAAAAGACTCCCACATAATGTTTTCGTGCATACGCGCGGATGCACGGGTCAAATGCGCGAAGGACGTTAGTGTGAGTTTCGTCCAAAATGGCGCGGTCGTCAACGTGTTAAATTCATCTCAAGCGTGGCGTACTTTTTAATTATCACCTTAGGTTTATTGTAAATGGATGGAAACTGTATTTTTGAAAGTGAAATTTTGCAAGGCGGATTTTTGGGGCCAAACCTAGCATGGCCTGCTTTTTAGGCACCCGCCATACTTGATCCTTTTGATCCACTGGATCCGCTTGATCCATCCGCTTCGTGCAAAACGTGCGTACACAGCAGTTTGTTATTTGGCTGCGTTCAGACTGATTTCGAAATCTGGGAACAGTTTCAGCACAGCGCTCATTTCAAGCGCTGTGCTGAAACTTTTCCCGGACTTCGGGATCAGTATGAACGCAGCCTTTGGCGCCGCGTTCGTAAAGAGAAATTCTGTATGGTTACGCAAATTCGTTGTACGCGACGCCAAATGACGAATCAGTGAGCGAAGCGGAATAAGCGGATCAAGTGGATTGGATCAAGTATGGCGGGTGCCTTAGGAACATACAATACCGCTCACATTTTTTGAAAAAAGACGCGAATATATGGACATGTATGGACATGTACGGACATGTCCATACATGTATGGACATGTCCGTACATGTCCGTACATGTCCATACATGTCCATACATGTCCATACATTCGCGTCTTTTTTTCAAAAAATGTGAGCGGTATTGTATGATTTTACTCATCGAAGTCTGCATAAAAAAATGTATTGCACAATTAAAGTTATGATCAGATTTTTTTGAATATTCCCGCGGTGATTCAATGACAAAGTAGCTTACCTATTTTACGTAATAAATGTAGCAAGGTTCTACAAAATGCAGGTATCACCACGGATGACCTGTTCTGGATGCCAAAGTCGCCTGGAAAGTCCTTGGTAGTTGGTGCAGGTTTTGTGGGATTAGAAATTGCTGGATTACTAGTCGACCTTGGGATCCCTGTAGATTTGGCGATCAGGTCACAACCTCTACAGAAACATGATCAGGTGAGTCAAAGTTTTGATGGTCGAAAATTTAAAAATCGGCCAGAGGTGAGATAAGCGGTAAATTAGAAATTTTGTAAGAGTGGAGGGAAGCAGTACTAAAATCGTTTTTTGCTTTGTAGGATTGCGTAAAGTTGGTTATGGACGGCCTAAAACAGCATGGTGTCAACGTGATATATAACAAAGAAGTCAAAAAGGTGGAAAAGAGCGGAGGCGATAAAAAGAAGGTACGTGCTCCTATCTGGATAAGTGCTTTCTAAAGAGAGTGATTGTGAATGCAGCTAGAGTCTGGTTTTTGGCGAGATTGTGTTCCTGCGCTGTCGACAGCGCTTGCGCGTAAGGATTTTTCATAGGACGTAAAACTTAGGGATACACCTTCGTGGAGATGGAAGATTTATTTTAAACGCAAGCGTTGTCGCTACTCTGCTGCATCAAGACAGTTCAACAAAATATATCATCTTTTTGGAAAACTCAATCCATCCTTGCCTATGATTGGATTATTGGTTTCAGTCCAATTTTGTTCTATCTCACTTCTTTCACTGCTTATGCATTATAGCTCTTAGTTAAAAAAATCCACGATTTCCGGCGAACTCCGAAATTCGTCGCATCGTCATATCTCGCTGCAGAATAGGGGGAGCCGGTACGAGCACCCACCCAATGTATATGGTACCTGCTCACTGAGTAACCTACCGTAAGCAAATTCTGAAAAGATTTGTGTAGACAAAAAACTAGCTAGCTATTATCCCTACCGTACCCGGACAGGCACTCCATACATCAAAGGATGGGCCTCGTCGAGGGTTGCGTGTTGTCCTAAATTCAAAATTCCTCCATTCTGAGCCGAGTATGGCCTCCGACAGAGTTCACGCGATTTGATCGTCGCGATTTAATCGCTACAAGACAACTGTTACGAGTTCATTGCATGCCGATCAGCTTGCATTTCGGTTGTAATACTTTTCCAGCTCGAAATTTTTGAATGTAAAATGAAAATGAATGAAAATCGCGACGATTAAATCGCGACGATCAAATCGCGTGAACTCTGTCCGAGGCCTAGGGCGGTCTGACGTTGTTTCCTTTTTGTGAATTTTTGCAAACTTTTACAAAATTTTGTTGGGGCTTCTTTGCAGGTCACTTTCAAGGACGTCTTGGTCAGCGAAGAACTTTCGCATGACGAATATGATACCGTAATCTGGGCTGTAGGTGGGTGACCACTGTGGCAATATTTCCTCTGACTGAAGCCGTAAATTTGTCACAGGACGAAATCCACAACATGGCGATCTGAATTTAGCGGCAGCTGGTGTGAAGATTGACTCTCGCACTTCTCGGATTATCGTCGACAGTAAAGACCAAACCTCTGCTGATAATATATACGCTATTGGAGATATCGCCTTGGTAAGTCAGCTGCGTAGATTACAATTTGGGTACTTATGTTCTTACCTAAGGGTCGTCCTGAGCTCGCGCCTACGGCGATTCGGAGTGGTCAGCTGTTGGCGCAGCGATTATTCAATGGTGGTCGAAAACTTATGGATAACCTTCATCCTCCCACTACTGTATTTACTCCCTTGGAACTTGGCACGGTTGGACTCACCGAAAAATTTGCTGAAGAGCTGTTTGGAGCGGAAAATATTGAGGTCACATTCGTCTCGTCTTTTTTTCGTTTGCTATTCGGAAAAGTTTAAGCTTCCAGGTGTACCATTCCCATTTCACTCCATATGAACACGTCATTCCACAAGATGAAGATTCTACGCATTGTTACGCTAAGGTAAATTGAAGTCACAGGTTTAGGTTGTTCCAAATGTAAACTAGATCAAAGTGTAATCTTCCTAGCTGACTTAGGCCCGTATGCACGTACATCCCCGCGGGGAGGGGAGGGGATCTGAGAGGGGAAGCGTCATATCTCGCTAGTCTATGTATCTTTCTTCTTCTTTCTCTGTCTTGGTTTTGAAGGTTTTCATACACTGATACTTGCGCATAACGGATACCAGGTTACTGCCATACAAGATTAGATATTCACTATTCCGTCTGATCCCCTGGGGATCCCCATGGGATCACCTCACATTTTCAAAGTTATCTATCTTTCTGAAAACTCGATGAAAATGTTCTAAAATTGTACTGTGGATATACTACAGCACTGCTAAACATATTTATGGTAGAAATGAGTGAAATCTCAAGCTATCAAAATCTTCGATGAACCGCTGCTCGCGAGCAGGGATTACCGAAAAAATCAAAATCTTCAGATTCAATTTCTTCTGTCGAAAACATGCTCAGCAATAACGTAGTATATCTTCAGTACAATTTTGCAGGGTTTTCATTCATTTTTCAGGAAGATAAACGACTTTGAAAATGTGAGATGATCCCCTGGGGATCCCCAGGGGATCGGAAGAAAAAGTGAATATTTAATCTTGTATAGCAGTAACCTGGCATCTATTATGCGCAGGTATAAGGGTATGAGAATCCTCATAAGCACGATAGAGAAAAAAGAAAAAAGATATCTAGAGCAGTGAGATATGGCGCTTCCCCTCTCAGATCCCCTCCCCTCCCCGCGGGGATGTACGTGCATACGGGCCTTAGGGTACCACTCGTTAAAACAAATCAAATTTCACAAAATGACGAAAGATCCATTGGAGTCTCAATCCATGTAAAGTTTGAAGTCAAAAATTAAATTTTTCTAGCAGACCTAAACATGGGATCTCCTTTCAGGAAACCCCCACTTCTAATTTAGTCATCATACAGTAAACGCAGTAGCTTCATAAATAAATCTACTGGATTTTTTTTTCGCGGCCCAAAATTAAGAAAAAATAGCCCGATTGCAAGAAGTCATTTTTTCAATTTTTTAATGTGTTAGACCTGGTATCTTTCAATTACCGGGCACGTAGAAAGTTATAATTTGAATTTTACTGAAAATTTATGGTGTAATCACACATGTAGGTGGAGACGAGGACGGAGTTTGCCATTTTGGATTACCTGTTTTTCATCGACTTCTATGCGCAGAAAAATTCCGGAATGTGCACTTATGAATACTACTATGTGTGAATCGTATGACGACCAAGTTAGAGGTCCGTAGAATTTTCTAGAAGAAAATCCGATTTTTAGCGCTCGAAAAGTTTTAGTGTCTGGCTCCAAACTTTACTTAGATTACTGAGGGCTTCCTTTTATCGAGTGGTATTTTGAGTCTGCTAAGAAAATAAAAACAGCTTGATTTGTATGGAGAAGAGTTCTATTTTTGGGACAACCTATCATCATGACTATCATAATGATTATTTTTATCAGCTATTTGAGTATAGCAAACAGCTCAGATAGTGGCTCGGCAGTGCCGACAACATATGCGCGTGAGCAAACTACCAGGAATGCAACAGTTTGCGTTATGGAATACTCCTGGAGCGCACCTTTTGATCACGCGCAAGTGTTGTCGCCACCGCAATATTATGCGCTCAGTATGTTAGCCTATACTAAATAATCTACATTGTATGTTTGTAGAACTCCCTTCTCAGGTTGTATGCTTGAGAGAAGAACCAAGAACCGTACTTGGCATGCATATTGTCGGGCCTAATGCGGCAGAAATTATTCAAGGTTATGCGATTGCTGTAAAAGCTGGAATAACCTTTGATCAGTTGACTGGTAAGTCAAAGTTGCGTTCTATTTTTTTGAGCATGACTTTTAGTGAATGTCAAATTAAGATACAATTGCGATTCACCCATGTAGCTCGGAAGAGTTTGTGAAGATGCAGATCACAAAACGATCAGGAAAGGACCCCAGGGTGCAGGGTTGTTGCGGCTAGAATTTGAGATCTCTTGATGAGGCTTTGGTAGCATAATAGCATTTTTGACCGTTTAGAACTTCAATATGTTTAGTGACTCTATCATCAGCAAAAAAGATGATAATGAGACATATGTTGTTTAATGACTCTTTTTGACCACAAGTATGCTTCGTAGAGGTAGTCCTATCGCTAGACATTTCATTTAAAAATATGTAGTTAGATTCAGTGAGAAATGCATAATTCTTCCATGAATCTCATAAAGGCAAGTCCTGATGAATGTGATACTTTGTGCCGTGATTTACATGAGACGTTTGTCGCTTTTTTCAATAAAGCTTTAGTTTCCAACCCCTACTTTCCCTTCTGGCAGCAAACTGCCCATACATAGGAAAATTCAATGAGAATTGGTTTCAAACAGCTTGATAAATGCTGAAGCTTCGCCATTTCAGACACAGTCTTATAGGTTTTGGTAATTTCAGCAATCCATTCTGAGCTATTGCCTTCAGTCAAAAGTACTATGAATTCATTATTTATGCTTAATGCTTTTGCACAATAATTTCATTATAACAGATTGGTTGACAATTAGACATTCTGTTCGGATATCGACAATTATATCAGTTTATCAATATTTTCATCTATTCAAGAAAAAATGCAGATCCATAGCCCTGTGATCATTACAGTGAATCGTGGTGTGGAAGCCAATTACGGGTCTTGATTTGCAGTAGACTGTTTGTGTGAATTTGGTGAATTTTGCTTTGTCGATTGCAGCTATAGGCTGCTGCATGACGAAGGCGCAATATCTTTGGGCGCGAACGCGGTTTTATTAGCCGCAGAGCGCATGAGGCGCGGGATTTACAACGGTGAGGATACGCGCGCGCCGCATTTGCGCCCGCTTAACTATACTACTTCTGCGCCTTCGTCATGCAGTAGCCTTTAAAGGCAGCGGACAGGCAAAATGGACCCCTGTCAGATTTTGGTAGTTTCGGGTAGTGGACCCCCCAAGTACACCGTAGCCCCAACCCCACATTCCAATTCATGCGCTAAGTATTGAAAAAAGCGCTTCAAAACTCCACCAGCCCCGCCCACTTGCATTGAGTGGGCGTTATTGGTGGAAGTTTGAAGCGCTTTTTTCAGGACTTAGCGCATCAATTGGAAGTTGGGGTTGGGGCTAGGGTGTACTTGGGGGGTCCACTACCCGAAACTACCAAAATCTGACAGGGGTCCATTTTGCCTGTCCACTGCCTTTAAAAAGATCTCAGTACAATTCTGGAGCAAATTTTACTTCACGGTATTCGGATAATACATGATTCGTCACTGATCTGTCGCGTGGGATTCGAACCCCGAACCATGCTATCATTACGGCGCAGTATCGCGCTGCGCTACGTGCGCATCTGCTGGTATCATCTCATATTCTTTTGGTACCTCGCGAGCGTACCCAAATTTTTCTTGGTTCTTTTTCAAATAAACGAATTGAGGTTAATGATAACAGATCGATTCTAGCCAGGGATGAGGCGCAGCGATTGGGAAAAATAACTTCTATGAAAAAGGCGCAGTCTGGTTTGGGTAAGAGAAAAATACAGAGTTGTCCGTCCGTCAGGTGATTCAAAACTCCAGATAAGTGGCATACGAGCCACGACTAATGCTTTGGCTTTACCTGTACACATTACTGGATGGGTTTGAAGCTGTTTCTGAAGATTTTAGTTTGATATTGATGAAACTGGTGGTAGGTAATTGCAATTTGGAGGCTTTTCAGCACCGAAGTCAAAATTACTTAGAGATATTGATGACCAAGCTATGCCATTATTTGGTGTAAATTCCTAGTGATTGATACTCTTAGAACTAGAATACATTTCCTCTTACGTAATGTGACTTATCAAACTAACTGGGGGGGGGGGGGGTATGCGGAATGAGTGTCACTTTCATGATAATCAAATTGAAAATGCATCTCAGATCTGAAATTTTCGATTTTTGTCCTGCTCAGGTCAGAATCTGGTGAACATGTGCATAGCGTTCTCCATCTCTTTTATGACCAAAATCTTTCAAAATCTCCTTAAAGTGAGGATTACGAGAGGGGCGGCGGAAAAAATTGCGTTGTGGCGCTCGATTGCGAAACGCTGCGACGCAACAGGATTGGACGCGTGCCAAAGTTACGTGCGAAAAATGATAATCGATTCTGTGTCATTTTCTTGTTACTTTTCACACATCTTTTTTCTTTTATGTGGGATTGCAAAACATTAAGTACAATTTTCACATCTAATTGTAATGCTTCACTTTTTTCTTTGTGGTGTGCGTAGTATCAGTATCACTTGCTACTTCAGCGACTTGAATCTAGTCTTTATCTTTCAGTTTTCAATATCCAGATGGCCTCTGTAGAGGTTGCAGAACCTCAAAGCACTCAATTTGAATCGGATAACGAGGAAGGTCGTTGTACACCATCACCTGAAGTGAAGAAAAGGTATGTTCAAAAAGATTGACTGTAGCTTAATCTGTCTTTTCATCCCTGTTTTTTTACCTATAATTTTTCCTCTTTATTGGTCTACGCAATTTTGGTACCAGACATGCTTTCCATAGCTTTTACTATGTAAAATTCCATTCTTTTGCAGAAGGGTCTCTATTTCCTGTATGCAGTCTGATGTGATGAAAGGAAGTGAAGCAGATTACGGCGATTTCGTTCTCGATAGAACCGAGTCCGTCACTTTGGAGATTGACGATGTCAGGACCTTGGATAGTGCGTCCTCAAGTATAGACAGGTGCATATTTTGTTTTTAGCCAGCGGCTTTCTACAAGCTTTTCTTTTTGTCTCCTGTGTGCGCTTTCGGGATATTCTGTCTTCTCTTTTCTTTAGCGAGTTTTATTCTGTATTCTTTCCGGAAACATGATTAGGTTCCAACATGGTTTTTCGAAGTGGTCAAGTACGAGAAAATTCAGTTTTTAATGCCTAAGCTGTTTCTTGCATATCTAACGTGCCATTGTTTCGCTTGCATGACTAACATAATACCCTTTGCAAATTGCAGTTCGCAATGGAAAGATAAAATACTCGCATCTCTCTTGACGGGACAAGAGAACCAGAATGGCAGCCCAGATGCTAAGAAAACTACCCCCAAAAGAGTTTGTTTCCATTTGTCTATTACTGTTTCGAATCTTTCCTTTTCTTTGAAGTAATTATGCTTACCTTCTGTTTATGTTTTGTTGCATATCAGTTCGAAGTTCGTAAAATACCCATTTAAGAATAACGGATGTTTTAACTGTGACGGAAACCATCACCTGAATGAGTGTCCTGAACCAAAAGACTTCAAGAAAATCAGGCAACGCCAGACTGAGATGCGTAACAGAAGCAGTAATACGTAAGTAATTTCTAAGCGCTCGGGGAAATAGCTCATTGTCTTTTGCAGTCCACGATATCTTGACAGTCAGTCGACAGAGAAGAAATTTCGTGCTGGTCGGATAAGCGACAATTTGAGGAAAGCTCTTGGTATAGGTCACCATGACATCCCAGAATATGTTTACCGAATGCGTAGGATGGGTTTTATTCGTGGATATCCGCCTGGCTACCTGAGAAAGTAAGAAACGCAAGGCCCCTTCTTGTGCTCTTTGCTTTTTCGCAGAGCCTTCTCTCTTCGATCATATGCTAAAATTTTGAAAGGGCTATCGACCGGGATGATTCTAATGACGTGTTGAAATTCCACATGGTAGACGAAATGGCCACTGATTCTGACGAGATAGTTGAGCGTCCTGATTCTCCACCTCCTAAAATAAATGCTGATAAGATGATATATTACTGCGGCTTCAATCAGACTTACCGTGACCTAAGAGATGTCAGTTTTGTGCGGGTTTTTTAATGCGAGAGTTCATTGTCATTGGTTATTACAGTTGGAGAATTTTCGTGTACCACCTTTTTTGGACTTTGTTGCATATCATCAAGAAACGTTGATCAAAGAGCATAAGAGAAAGATGGAAGAACGAAGGAGATTGCGCGAGCGAATGGCAAGAATAGCCAAGAAGCGTGAAGCAGGTGAGAACTTTTTTGTACATGAGTAATGATGCTGAGAAGTATTTTGTACACTGCTTTTACTTTACATTTGAGCGCATGAGTTTATCCTGTTTTGCATTTACTACGCACATACTCTGTTCGCGTACGAGTTTCATTGTCATTCGTTGTCGTACCCTGACTTCTTTGTTTCCTGTTGTGAACAGATCCTATGAGGCCTCTGTTGCGTACAGCGAATTTAAGCAGTTTCTGAATTATTTTTCTAGAAGTATTGGAAGAAGGAGAGATAATCATTCTTGATCCGCCGCCACCGCCGCCACCTATACTTAGTGTAGACGATGACGACTGCATCGTCATTGATTGTGAACCTAGAGAGGTAAATGTTTGTTTCATATCCTTGAAAATTCCCCTATAAACTCTTTTCAGACTCCTTCACCTCCCATCGAAGATGTCACTCCCATGGTGAGTATCAATCTGTAAAAGATGTTACATTATGAGTCTAAATTCACTACTGGTCCTTTGATTTCTGGGGAGTTTAGGGTTCTTCTGCTGGAGTGGTCAAAGGAACGCCTGTCCTAATGCGTCGGCGCGGTGAAGGCGCAGGCGAGGTTGTAGAAGAGTCGAAACCTTCTTTAGAAAGTTTCAGCAAAGGGATTGTGCCCTTCGAAGCGCATGAGGAGGAAACACCTCATAAAGGTTTCTTGAAGAAGATAATGGGGAAGTTAAAGAAATTTTCAAGCACATCGCATTGATGCGATGACTCATAGATACTCACGAGGGAACGATCCCAACTTAAGGTGGCGAATTGGAATGAACCGCATACCATTAGATGCGTCTTGATGAGCTCTTTCCAAATCTACCTTCCATATCTGCGACAACGTTATTTGCAAAAAGTTATGAGCGGTTGAAAATGTGAAGTTACTGGGGTTTCAATGCATAATGTGCTTCAAAATCCAACTTGAAAGTGCATGACTAGCATGATATTGAGTGTACTGATTTCACGGAATGCTCACATTCAAAAGAAACACAAATAAGTGTTCTTGTACAACTAATTTTCGAGAAATGGCGCTGTATATTTGCCAAATTTGGATTTTTCATTGCTCATAGCTTTTACCAGAGAGCTTTAGTTGCTTTTTAGCTGTTCAAAAACACTTATTTGTGTTTCTTTTGAATGTGAGCATTCCGTGAAATTAGTACACTCAATATCATGCTAGTCGTGCACTTTCAAGTTGGATTTTGAAGCACATTATGCATTGAAACCCCAATAACTTCACATTTTCAACCGCTCATAACTTTTTGCAAGTAACGTTGTCGCAGATATGGAAAGTAGATTTAGAAACAGCTCATCAAGGCGCATCTAATGGTATGCGCTTCATTCCAGTTCGCCACCTTAAGTTGGGATCGTTCCCCTGTCAGAGGTTGATTAGACATTCCAAGTGTTCATGATTGAGCTCAAAGCAGTTTCTGTACATGGTATCGTACCAAGACAGTTGTTTGTGATTTTTTTACTTGTACAAATTTAACTTGTGGGCGAACCTCAACCTGTTGGAAATTCTACCTTTGGGGTTGCCATTCGCATTTTTCTCAGTTATATTGTTCCAAGAGATTCATTTGTTTTTCCGTCTATGATATATACACAGCGCACTTCATAGAATGGTCTCTTTGACCATCAAAGTATAGTTTATTTTTCGCTAAGGACTTTTCAGGGACGAATAACTTTTCGTCGCTGCAGCTTCCCAAATGCGGTAGGTGTCCTAATGTCATATCTGTCGACGTCGCATTATTTGCATTCCATAGCATGTCATCTTGCGATAATTTATCGCAAACTTTATCACGCGATGTGAGAGTGAGTATGTGTGTTGAAAGTGGGAGTTTTTGACTCACTCGTTTCATCAATTTCATTAATAAAATATTTTAATAGGGAGATGTTGTTTTTGGCTATCTATGATCTTTTTTTTTTTCATTGAATTGCAGGGGAAAGCTGACCCATGCGTTTGCTTGCGAATTGTTATTAACTTGACTTCCCGTTAATCCTTGCTAATTAACGGATCTGAATGCTGATTCAGGTTTTGCCTTGCAAACAACACTTGCACGTAAAAAAATGGCCGTATGGTACAAAAACTGGAAAATTACGCGTGGCCCATTCGAGTGCAAGTGAGTCGGCTGCGCAGGAAAACCTTCTCACTGATTGCATTGCGTGGAAGTGGGAGGCATTGAGGGCAGTGTCCGAGCAGTGATTGGTTGTTCCTGTTTTTTATTTTCTCAAATGATGCTGGACATTTCAAAACTGAGAATATTTGCTTTCACCACAGTTAAAGAAAATGAGGTTAATGTGGCCAGCGCGGCACGAGTTGGCTTCCAGAACTGTTTAATAAGCGATTTGTGGCTCTAGATTCTTCTGAGTCTTTGCTTCAGAGTGAGAAGTTGAGGCCAAAAGAGCAAAATGTACAGATAAAGTGGCAGCTTCGGTTCGGGTGCACATCGGACTGCTACTGTCAATGCTTAACATGAAGATGAGAGCCTTATTGTATAAGAAAAAGGGAAGTTTCACTTCAACTGCGGCAGCATCATCGGTTCATGTAGAAGTATAAGAAAAAAGTTGAACGGATAGAACTTGCAGCAGTATGTCCATTTAAGAATGCAAATGTACTCTAAAATGTTACAGATAAGTCCGCTTTTTTACAAGAAAAATCGATGAAAATGCGCCCTCGACCGCCAAGAATCTTGCGGATAAGTTCTCTCATCAGATAAGTCTGCCTACAGATAAGTCCGAACTTTTTGACAGTCTTCGGACTTATCTGACAAGATTTCAGGGTAGTTATAGTGGAAAGAAAACTGACTTATCTGTAAGCAGACTTATCTGGAGGGCCTTAAAGGCTGTGGGTAGGCAGAATGAGACTCGTGGAAAAACAAGGTCACAGAGTAGGAGCCCCATGATGGAACCTATGGGCCAAAGTTCGATCTTTCTCTGCTACTCCTGACCCCCGAAATTTCAAAGCGAAGCCCGTCATGGCGAAGACGCAGAGTCGTTGCGGGACCTCATGCTTATAGCATTGCGTCTGCGCGCTCTGACTGTGGAAGTCACTCGTCCATGGGGTGGGCGGGTTCGGAGAGGACAGGAGATGAGCGCTGCTTTCGCTTTGAAATTTCGGGGGTTAGAAGTGGCAGAGAAAGAGCGAACTTTGGCCCATAGGTTTCATTATGGGGGCTCCTACCCTGTGACCTTGTTTTGCCACGGGTCTCATTCTGCCGACCCACTGCCTCTAAACACCCTCCATTATAGTTGTAACGAACGGGAATTTTTCGAATGAACGAATATCGGATTGATTTTTGAAAAACTTTCGAACGAATGAATATGGAATGATTGATTTTCGAAAATTTTTTCTAAAGAACGAATATTATTCGATTTGCGATTTTTATATTATTCGAATTCGAATATGGGAACATAATTCGAATGAACGAATATTCGAGTAACTGAACTTGATCGAATATTCGACTATTCGAATAATCGAATAATTGGATATCATCGAATATTCGAATGCAATCTTCGAATATTCGCGTGCAATATTCGAGTATTCAAACGCAGTAGTCGCATATTCGAATATTTTCGAATATTCGAACAACGGTTCTCAAAACTTCTCGAATAATTGAATTATTCGAGAAGTTTTGAGTTATTTTTAGTTAGTTAATAAGTTATTTTTCTAAATCGCCGAATAAACGAATTCAAATAAAGACCTTTTCCATTTATTCGACCATTCGAATAATTGAATAATCGAAATTTCTCAAATAGTCGAATATCTCGAATAAATTATTCGAATGCGAATATTCGACTCCAACTACACCGTCCACCCAGATTGAGATTGATGAGATTATGATACCTAGCAGCTGCGGGGCTCCCAGCTGTATGATTGCCCAACTCGCGCTGCCTAAATTTGCTTCCGAAGCGAGGAGATTGCTTCAGAAATTCCTCATGTGACGGTTTGCCACGTTGGCTCCTCCCCTTTCGGGTGGGCGTGACGTTGTCTCCCATCCGTGCGTGTCCAATCAAACACCGTTCCGAAGAAATCGCTCTGCTCTGAAAACGGGGTTTTTCGTGGTTTTCGCGGATTTCTGACTTGATATTCGGAATCAGGGGTTTGAGAAGGCCCTGTAACGGCAACAACATGGAGGTTCGAAGTTTGGGTGGACGGTGCCGTTAACTGAGTCAAAAAGCGGATTTATCTGAAGGCGGACTTATCTGATGGTTGACTCATGTGTGAGATTTTAGATAGTCAAGATCTGTTCCAGAATTATATGGATCCTATGAAAATCATTTCAGGATCTCGCCATTCTGTGCGAACATACATAGTAGATGTCAATGTCATACCAATCTTGTCATCATATATTGATTATTATGAGTTTCACACTTGATTTTGCTCTAATCTCTTTCAGATTATCCATAGAGTCAATCCGTTTTAAAATTTTTGTACACATTGTCACTGGAGGCTTTTGAGAGTAGCACATTCCACAAACGGAGGTTTTCTTCATCGGGGAGAAGGCCGGAGCGATTTCCTCGCTTCCGAAGCGAAATTTTGCGCCGCGACTTGGGCATTGGCTTGATAGGGGGCCCTACTACCATATGCTGTCAAATGCTCAAGACTTCAACTTGGGGTGGACGGTGCCTTCGAACGCTAGATATAATTTCTTCTTTACTTACAGGTACAAACAACTTCGTAAACAATTGGAAGACTTTGATCATAACCTGGAGAGAGTTCAGCAGGGTCACGTATTTTTACGCATTATTTGCTCGCTCTGACTGAACAAGAAGATGACACGATATTAACTCTTAGCATGACCATCTTACCTTTAATTCAATTCAAGAAAGGCGGCTGATTTTGTTCCTAGAGTACTCTAATTGTAAGTAGCTTCATGACGGGTTGATGTGGGAACAGCTGTTATTTTCTGATTCGACGTTTGAGTAATTACCATGATGTGTTTAGCCCATAGGCATTCCTGAACTTTGACGAAATCTGAAGCACCAGGTGGATCATGCGATTTTGCGTTGTGGCATTGCATACCTATGGGGCTTCTGCTATGCTTGTTGATATGTCCAAAAAGGACTTGACATTTTTTGAAACTTGGTATATCTGAAATCATGCATTTCTATATTCGATGGGGAGTATCCGGAAAAGCAATGCAATAAATGTAAGACAAAGGGTAGATGAGATAGAACCGCAAGCTTGAAAGTAAAAATTCAAATTCTGAAGGAATATCAGTCTGTTGCACACATGGGAAATCATAAGGTCGGAAAGGGGACAAAATGCTTTTTTGAGGGCTGTGAGGAGGCAAGTCTCAATAAGTTTATGAGGGCATTGTCGACAGAGAAAAGCAAGCTTTATAAAATAATCTTCAAACCGTTGCATAAATCACGACCCATGTCAAGTTTGGAACCGGAATTTAAGTGTATTTAATCCTCAAGAATCGGATCTCCTCCCTATAAAGCTAAACAAAGCCGCTATTTGCTTGGAATGTATCAAAAACATACAACGCTCAATTCATGCAAAACCTGTAATTTTTCGTGATTTTTTCTATCAAGAAAATAGTAGACGGAAATTGGCAACCGCCCATTGTGGTTGTCGTACACTTAGAACTGTGAATACAGATTTTTGTAAGCATGTAAATCCTCTGTATTTGTTTTGATGAATGTGAAATTTTTTACCTTAGAAAGAGTTTTCCACTCCATTGTACTTTGGCTTTTATCAAGCTTGACATAGAAAAACCAAATTTTCAAATATCCG